CGTATGGTTACTGGATCTACCCGATGGGAGATGGTAGCACGGGTTATTTTCAAACCGGTTTGGATGGCGGTCATGTTATAGGATAGGCAATTAGTATTCATATCTTTAATGCCGGTCGGTTGTGGCTTCTCTAGTACTTTTTTAGCTCTTTGTGAGCCCTTTTCATTCTTTGTTTGAGACTTGAGGACTTGTGTTGAACATTTTGCTTATTAATAATTATGGACGTATGCATCGTTCTGATGCAGAGCCCGGGGATAATTCCCTTTTCGTAAAAAAATATAATCATACAATGGGCAGGCACGAGTTTTCAGGATAGGATATCCATACGCACACAAATGTGGACCAAATTTCATCGGCTAGAAACAATATATCATGTAAATACAAAATAAAGTGATCAAAGGTCAGAGAACCATGATATGCATCATGTGACAGTAGCATCATTTAAGGGGAAAATACTCTGCCAGGAGATTGAGAGCATACGGGCTGATGACCACATCGACATTTGCCCAATTAGCTTCACTCTTTTTCAGTTTTGACGGCAAAATAACAGGAAGAAAGGTCCTAGTGTGAATATATGAAACTTGCAGTCTACACGTCGGTATCATACAGTATTATTGGTGCAATGTCCGAGAGCCGAACCTCTTTCGCTTCCACCTGAGTTGGATTGGACGCTTTTGGCACCTGCACGCGCACACACAGCAGAGACATCAAAACCAGATCAAATCACTTTTTTATTTATTGCATGTATGGTAGGGCAATTCTGAATATCAAGTGACACTAGACACTTAATTCTACTGAACCATCAAAAGAGATGCCACACTTCAGTGGTAACAGAAATAATACCAACAGTGCCATCAACTCGAACGTACAGAACAAAAATCACACCATTAAACCCTACCAGAACAAGTCGATCATATAGCAGGAAACGTTCCTATATATGGATATAATGTGTTTCATAATCCAGATAGGTGTGAAGTGCCACCAACTAAATAAAAGAGCACACAGGAGTAAAATTATAATAACTAAATAAAAGAACACACATGAGTAATTTAAATTATGAATTGAACAGAAACTTTTGGATTTTTTTTACTTTCACTTTGCAATTTAATATATGCAGCAGGATGTTGTGCTACTACAATTTTCATTAAAGTAGCTACAAAAGGCCTCTAGTCAACATATTAACATCGTGGGAAATGTTTCTGAATGACTGAAACGTTACAGTGTGGCAAACAATTCTGAATTATAGCTACCTGAAACCGACATGTTTCTATGAACATCTCAAACCTGGTGGACTTGATGTCTAAGATATTTTCAACACGAACTGGTTCATTTTATTTTATAAATTCAGGTTCAAAACTACCGCTTCTTAAGAGCATTTTCTGTACTTGTTCACTGCCAAATTATTCAGTATATTGTCAACTGAAATAGCTGCATGAAACTGACATGTTTCTGTGAACATCTCAAACTTGGTGGACTTGATGCCCAAGTTATTTTCAACACGAATTGGTTCATTCACATGCCCTGCCCAATATCATTGAATAACTAAAAAAAATAAGCCCCTACGTTCAGCAATATAAAGATAGCATAGTCAGAGGCAGGGGACAGAAACAATAGCTAAAACAGGGGATTCCATCCAATGAATATCAAGGGGATATATACCTCTGGTGTAGCCGCCGTAGGTGACATTGGACAGTTGGACGGATGTTCTTATTCTTCCCGCGAACTCGGTGCTTCTTCCTCTGGCGAACTCGGCGGCAACATTGGACGTTTCGATGAAAATTGCAATTTCGACGGGCTTTGATGGAGCTTATGGTCCAAGGACGCAACCTGATGGAGATTCCGGCCGAGGACACTTCCTTCTTATAGCAGGCAACTCAAATCCGGGTCGGGAAATCCTTCTTATAGTAGGCCCCACGGCGGAGGTGCTTTGGTCCTCCCCCTTGCCTCGAGCCTCATGCGCCATCCAGCCGCGCTCAGCCACAACCGCCATGGCTGATAGCCTTCAGAGTGTCGCCGCGGCGCTTCTCCTTATCGCTGCTCGCCTCCGTTCGTCGGAGCCCCAAGCATTGCCGCCGTGGGGCGTCCCCCTCCCCAGCGCTTCTTCTACTCCTCCGCAGCTCACTGCTGTGGTTGTAGCCATCCACCGGCAAGGGCGCAGCCCTCACCTTACCCTGTTCCGCCGTGGCTGGAAAGGCAGCAGGCGTTTGAATAAAATGAAACAGAGGAATCATGGGTTGAATTCATATAGATGTAGGGTTTTTTTAAACGAATTGTTTTTCCAAATTCACTAAAATAGGGACTGGCGGGTTCAATTGTCAAAAACTATAAGGACTTTTCTGCAAAAATGTCACAACAGTGAACCCGACAGAAGCAATGCGTGTTTTATTAGTAGGTAAAGATAAATATAAAGATAATGAACGACAGATCATGGACATACGTACGGAAATTCATGATCTTTTTTCTAAATGATCTTGAAAAAAAATTTGATGCTCCAAAGAAACTATTTTAAAGCATTTTGGGGCGTTAGTTTTATTTTATTTTGCCGTAAAACATTAAGAATGTTTTTTCTTGACAAAATTTGCACTAATGTAAACAAATCAGCAATGTTTATTGCAAAACAAATCAGATATTATTATGTTTATCACACGTGCATTTGATTTTACCGTTTATCACACGTGCATTTGAGCTCGCGAGGGCAAAAACACTTTGGTATCTTTTTTTTGAGCACTTTGGTATCTATTCCTAGTAGAAAAATCGACACTATTTCCGCTACAAGTAAAAGAAAGTTCGACACTATTTGAAAGGGAGATTTTTTGTTGTTGTTGTTGTTGTTGTTGTTGTTGTTGTTGTTGTTGTTGTTGACAAAAGTCAGAACCCGGCCCGACCTTTCGGGCCCGTTCGGAAGTTCTCCACCAGCGCTACCCTGCTTCTCATGGGAGCAACTAGTTAACAAGCGCTCCTTCGGGAGCCTCGCAACGATCAGCGTCACTTGGCGCGCTCTCAGCCATTCGCCACGTGTCGCGCTCTGGATGCTTCTTTCGTTTTTTTTTTATTTTTTCGCACGCGTTTTCGGCTTTTTAAACGGTTTTTTTCTGGGTTTTTTCGACGTTTTGGTTTTCCCCCGGTCTTTCTTAGCTTTTCGATCAAAAAAATTTTTTGAATTTTTTTTCGCGAAAAAACGTGTTTTTTTCGTGAAAGTCACGGTTTTTCTTCCGCGAGAGGCACGGTTGTGCTTTAGCGAGAGTCACGGCCGTGCCTTTCGGAAAAGAAAAAAATGTATTTTCTGTTTTTTTTTTCGCCAGAGTCACGGTTTTGCTTTCGCGAGAGGCACGTTTGTGCTTTCGCGAGAGTCACGGCCGTGCCTCTCGGAAAGGGAAAAACAAAACACGTTTTCTGTTTGTTTTTTTCATTTGTGGGAGTCACGGAGTTGCTTCCGCGAGAGGCACGGTTGTGCTTACGCGAAAGTCACGGCAGTGCCTCTCGGAAAGGAAAAAAACTACGCGTTTTTTTTTCGCGAGAGTCACGGTTTTGCTTTCGCGAGAGGCACGGTTGTGCTTTTGCGAGAGTCACGGCCGTGCCTCTCAAAAACGAAAAAAAACGTGTTTTATGTTTTTTTTCTTACACAAGAGTCACGGTTTTGCTTCCACGACTCTTTCGAAAAGGGAAAAAAACCGTGCTTCCGGTTCAGTTTTTTCGTCCGGTTTTTTTCATTCATTTTTTTTTTGAAAAAAAGTTCGTCAAAACCTATCAACATGGGATCTAGTTTTGAAATTCTTGACGTGAAGAATCCAATGATGAAAAGGGTTCGAGATTTGGACGCACGATTTAAGAGATAAAACGTTTTGAATAAACGGAAAAAAGGAAAAACTCGCAGGTTACGACAAGTGACGCGCTGCATGTGCGTCACTTGTCGCGACCTGGGAAAGTGGAGTGTTTGAGTACTCCTTAATTAGTAAGCAATGACATAGGACTTAGATATGCAATACTTATGTCACATCTAGATGTGCTTTAGCAAAACTGAATTAGTAATTAGTGATTTCGGCTTCTCATTCCTCTCCAGGACCCAACTCCTCCTCCAATCCGGCCCGACCTTTCCTCTCCAGGACCCAACTCCTCCTCCAGTCCGGCCCAACGGAATCTCCCCCCTCGCAGTACGCCAGTCCACCGCCGCGGTGCCCTAGAGCTCCGTCCCGCCGTGTCGCCGCTTAGCGCACGCACCACCGGACCAGCAGCAGGCGAGGGCCGGCCGGCACCTACTTCAACGGAGCGCGGACGGAAGGTGAGCCCCATCTCCCCTTCTCCCCGTATACCCCAGGGCAGCAACGGCCATCCCTCCCAGCTCCGGCCGAGGCTCCTCCATGCCCGTCCGCCGCCCACGGTGTGCCCCCTTCCGATTCGTCCGGGCCGCGCGATCTTCTCGCTCTCGCGATCGATTCCCCTAACCAATTTCGGCCCCGCTACAGTGGGAGGCAATTCTCGCCACCACCTCGTCGAGGAACCCTGTCTTTGCTCGCTGGAGAGCTCGCCATGTACAGAGAGATATGGTTACCGATATATGATCAGCGATACTGATTTGAGATCTCCGTGCTGGGTTTTAATTAGGAGTGCTTTTTCATTCCCTATTGGTAGCCAAACCAAACGACTAACTTCGAATATTTTGTCAAGGGCTGACCAGCTATGTGATATAAACTTCCTTATATAAATCATCAATTTCCTCGTACTTCATATGCTGTATCGACCTCGATAAATGGCATGTATAGTGGCCGTTTTGACACAGACAACAATATCCCTGCACAGAGTGATTTAGGGTTAAACATTTGCAAAGGGGAATTTTCTCGACTTTTAGCTTGTACTTCCTCCGTAAACTGATATAAGAGCGTTTAGATCACTAAAATAGTTATCTAAACACTCTTATATTAGTTTACAGAGGGAGTATTTGAAGATGGAACCATGCCCTGATGCTTTTGTTCTATCCGTCTCCTAAGGTTTCTGCATCTTCCATGGCGCTCGTGGTGATGTGCGGGCAGCCGTGCAGCGGCAAGTCAGAGGCTGCAGCTTGTCTAGCTGCCGCTCTTCGCTCCTCCGTGCCTGACGTCACTGTCCGCGTCATTGACGAGTCATCGCTCCATCTTGGACGGAATGAAAGCTACAAAGGTATAGTCGGTTTTTAGTCTTCATGTTTTCTCTATGCTACTATTCAATTCATTTTTATTGTTCTTTTACCATCCACTTATTTCTGCCAACTGATTCTGTGCTTTTATTTCTTAGATATGGTTGTGGAGAAAAACTTAAGAGGAGTTTTGAGATCAGAAGTTGATAGGTCTGTGTCACGGGATGGCATAATCATCGTGGATTCTTTGAACAATATTAAGGTGATGGCAGTACTGTCTCCTTAATTCTATTGCTGCAACTTGCAATCACTACTCCATTCTCAATTAGTAATAGAAGATAGAAGCAGCACCGTGTGGTTATCTTTTTATGTATGTTATTGTTGTACTTGGCACAGTGTGATCAGGGGACAAAATCTGGGCCCCTCCCTGTGCTATGGTTTTCTGAACCACTCAAGTTTGGGAATTACAAGCTCAAGTCCATCGTTTTACATAGTAAAAAATGTCAATATAGCTCAGTTTTTTGTTGTTGTTTCTTGAGCAGTTACTACGTAAACTGTAATATGAAGTGGATTCTGCAACTTGTGCTGTACTATGTTAGAGGCGTGATGATTTTTACCTATAATATGCAGGGGTACCGATATGAGCTGTGGTGTCTTGCGCGTGCTTCGGGAATAAGATATTGTGTGGTAGGCACTTGATGTCCTGTTTATTGACTTACATTCATTTTACACATAACAGGTTTACACTAATATGAGCATAGCACAATGAAATCATGATGAGATGGCATCATGTGTTCTCTAAGTATTGTTGTTGGTTAGATGGCAATAGAAGTCAGGTAGTAATGAGACAACCAGATAATCATAAATGCCACATAATAATAGAGCTAACACGAGCTAATTGATGTGATTCATGACTGGTTCTTGGTGAAGACCCACCGCCGCCGACATTAAAATGTCAGTTCAGAAATTGAGTTCTCCCTCCGACCCATATTACTTGTCGCTCAAACGGTATCTAGCATTGAAATATGTCTAGATATATCCATTTGAACGACAAGTAATATGAATCGGAGGGAATACAGCATGGGAAATTGGAGGGACAGACCTTAATAAATAAGATGCATTACCAAAGTGATCTTAAAGTATTTTTTTACCTGATTTGCAAACCATGATTATGTCCTACACAAAGTATCCTATTGAAGAGAGTGCATATAGAAACTATTGGCCAGTTTACTGCGCTTTTTCACCATTTAATATTGTAAATGATATAATAGTAAGTGATTTCCATCATACTTCATCTTTTATGTTTCAGTTCTTTTGTGATACAGAAGTGGACCATTGTAGGGATTGGAACGTCAAGCGTCAGGAGAAAGGAGAACCCTCATATGATAACAATATGTAAGATATTTCTCTTGTGGCTCTTGTTGACCTGTTTGCAAAATGTAATACCTCTTACGAATGAGATATATGCTGCACAGTTACTTTGTTTGCTCTGATTTCGAATTCATGTATATATAGTTGGCATTTTTATTTCAAATCACTGAAATATTTGATAGGTTATGGAAGGATTTGCTGTTGTATCGGGTTTATGGGGAAAGTAATGGACTCTTTGTCTCCTTCAGTTTACCGAACAGGTGCCATTGCTCTCTCATGATTTCTTCTGTTTTCACAGATTTGAAGATCTGGCAAGGAGATTTGAGAGGCCGGATAGTCGTAGCCGCTGGGATTCCCCTCTTTTTGAATTGTTTCCATCTAGAGGTAGTCTCATTTTGTCTAATTATTTTATTTTCACAGCATGCGTGATCTGAATCAGTACTAATATGTTCATCGTATATCTAATCTTTGTAATTAGTATCACATATGTCTAGTACCTTATGCATTACTCGCCATAGTAGATGTTCTGTCCTTCTATTGTTCTATAGTCCCTATTGGTTGAACCCACAATATTTATTGCTTGTTATTGTCGAACACTCATAGAAACTCATGCTCATGTGATTGGTTGAATTGGTAATTATTTTAGTTAATTAGTTTATTGTCAGACAGAATTCCAGGCTTCTTTTCACAATCCTTTATATCCAGTTTTATATTGGTTACACAAGAATTAGTACCACCCAAGAAATGCTCACTATACTTGGCTAGTGCTCGCTCTCTACTTCTTTACTTCCTTAATTGACTCATTATCCCATTTGATCGATCTTGCTGTTTTCAATAGAGGAAATTGTGGAATCTTCCCCTGTTATTGCTGAGGCTGTATCATATTTGACTAAGAAAGTGGATTCGAAAACAAGAGATGTGAAAGTTCTCCAGCCTACAATAGCTACTCAGTCTGTAAGTATAAATGTTTTTCTAACAAAGAAATTTTTGTATACATCATTGACTGACTACGACTGCATGATCTTCCAATACATAAACAATAATTATTTGGTACTCTGTTAATGCCTGCATGAATTGGTGTGGTACTATATATTGCAGCCAAATACAAGAACATATTAAGGAAATGTGTTTAGTTCCTATGTTTTTTTCCCATGTTACACTATCGGTGAATTTGGTTCTTGCTAAGCTGGCCTATCCAGTCTTTCATGTGCTAGTGTTGGCTTAGCTGTTGCCTCTAATCTGAATAATCTTTTGAAGGTTAGTTATGTTTTCCTAGACAAGCACTAAACTACTCCCTCCGTCCCATAATATAAGAACGTTTTTTACACTAGTAGTATATTATGGGACGGAGGGAGTATGTAGTAAGTAGTAACGGAAGTGCTGTTCGTGTGATTCTTGCCCACGAAAGCGAGCTGGTTTGTCTCTTCATGCAGCTGATTTTCTATCCATCCCAGGCTACGGTGCCTAAAAGAAATTTTGCTTGCTCCAAATGCAGAATGGTGCCGGGCTAGGCTAGTTTTTTTTTTGCTTGGAATCCAGATGAACCATATCTCAAACAAATTCTATCAAAATCTGAATACTCCATGATGCAAATGCAAAAACAATTAAAGTCTTCCTAATATTGTGCAAATACTGTGTATTTCCAACCTGCAGTACTTTTCCATTCATAGTGGATTTCCTGTAGATTTAAACAAATCCTGACTTGATAATATTTTAGGTACGGACTACTGAGGGCAATTCGCTCTACGAGATGGACAAAGCAACACAGGTAACTGCAGTTTTCCTGGCTGATGATATCTAGTCCCAGGAAATGTAGCAACGTTTTTAGAAGGAGCTGCAAACCTGTGATATGAACTGTACTTTGCAGGAGGTGGTCAGTGCAATTGTGGAGGCACAGTCTGGTGGTCTTGGGCTTGCCATGAACAAGATTTCTCTTGGGCCTGACTTGCCAACTATATCCTTTACTGTTTGCAATATTCTCTTAGCAAATTACTCCCTTCGTTCCTAAATATAAGTCTTTTTAGAGATTCCAATGCGGACTACATACGGAGTAAAATGTGTGAATCTACACTCTAAAATATGTCTATATACATCCGTATGTAGTCCTTATTGAAATCTCTAAAAGGACTTATATACTCCCTCCGTAAACTAATATAAGAGTGTTTACAATACTATAAAGTAGTGATCTAAATGCTCTTATATTAGTTTACAGAGGGAGTATATTATTGCAGGAGATGCAAATAACATATATCCGTCTTTGTGCATCTGTAGGCATGCACAAGTTCCTAGTTCAGAATAACCTTATGATATCATACATGCCATGCGTTATTTTTCAAACTTGCAAATGACTTTTCAAACACCAATCAAGCAGACTAAAAATTCTGAGGTAGAGTAGTTTTCTGTCTGCATGGTCTCAATCTAGAATTGGATTCACCTTTCTATATTATTATTTTGCCATAAGATAATCAAGTGAAGGAAACCACCATTCGTTGGATATTATCATTGCGCGGTGAGATCCTTAACTGACTTTTACATTAATCTTCAAAGATCGGTTGGCCTGCCCGAGCTACGGAGCCTCCGACGCACGTTCATCAAGCTGGCAGGGCAGTACAGCTTGAGCGGGCGACCCCCACCAACAGATGCCGACAGCGCGAAGAGGATGTTTGTTGACTACTTGAACCGAGAAATTGGTGGGTGATTCTCTGATGAGTAGTCCTGCCTATGATGTACTACTTCCCAGGGGACAAAATGCAGGCGCTTGTAGCGTTTTCCCCTGCCATGCTCCTCATCTGGCTTCTTTCGGGGCGTCCAAGGAGATTATTTTGCCTCGCATGAGCTTCACCACAAGTATTCACAAGTGGCATGCCGCTGTGTAATTCTGTAGCTCCTGTACCACCCAAATAGTTTTCGCTGGTGTTTGCAACTTGTAAACTACACAATTTGGAAATATTTACCGAATTATTTATGTAATGGCTGCAACTTGTTAAGACATATTTGAAAAATGGCTCCAGATTAGCGTTCTTTGTTCTGCTATAATATCCTCAGCTACCAGTCCAACTACCTTCTTCTGTTGATAATGGGAGGCCCTTCAGATAAAAAAAAATCTGATGTTGATTATGTCGTGCAGAAAAGATAAAAAAACTAAAACAAAGCGGCTGCATACTTGCAGCATATTAGGAGAAGCTCTGGTTTTAGTATATCCATGACCGGACAAAGACAGAAAAAACATCCAATCTCTAAATACCTCAATCACAAAGACACGAAACTATCTCAAGCACTGAAAGATGCATTAAAGTCTAAACCACAGAACAAGAAGCATCTATATCCCTTGTATGCTGCTTGCATAAAACTTCCTTTTTTCCATCGAATATATCACAAGCATCGAAATATGCATTAAATTTTAAATCACACAAGAAACACCTATATCCTTTTGCTACTCGAAAACTTTTTTTTTCCTTCCATATAACTGCTACATGGAAATATACCACGAGCAGTTCTCTTCTACTTCCATTAGTTTACAGGTTTATCCAAGTTAGAGCCAACTTGTTCACCCACAGGCAGGGTTTTCTCTACATCATTGGAATCATCTTTGTCGTCATCATCGGCTTGGATTCCTCGGGAAGCGCCTTGGATCATCTCATCATCGACTCCTGCAAACAAAATTTTCATGTTTAACCCTCAACATTACCCACGGACAAACGGGAAGCAAGGAGGGTATGTACCTTCAATGAAGGACTCGAATTCATCGCCCGGTCCTGCTGATGAGGTCCAGTTGAATGGTTGACTAATCTCCATCCAGTTTGGCTGCTCTGCTGGTCCCGAGAACAGTGCGGATCTATCCACCACCCAGTCATCAACTATGTCTATGTAGTCTACCGAGATTGGATCAAATGCCTTCGCCTTGTATTGTTGCCTATGAACAGTTGTATAAATCAAATCACTTGTTGCATCCATGCTTTGCTAAATTTTTTTCAGAATAACACATCATCGATTAAAACATTCTATGTAACGGGGATTTGGTTACCTGTATTGTAGCCGCAGGTTGCATTGAACAAAGGTGAGATGATGCATTCGTTGACGTTCAAAAATATTCATTCTTTGGTCATGGAGTTGTTCGAAAGGAATGTGTGTCCGATCACACCCTTTAGCGCTGGAGGTCTGACTGAGGACACGTACTGCCAAACGTGTTAAATTCGGGCAAGCTCCGCCATACATATACCACCACTCAGCTGCAAGATAATATAACATGTCAAGATCAAAGTATCATCAAACAAACTTGATGCTTTAACAGATGGAGCGTGGAAGGTTGGTTCAGAAACCTCATGCTTACAACAATGCTATAATTTAGTCAATCAAGTAAAAGTGAGTTCAATACAATCTGTAATTCTGTATAGTACTAACCAGGAGGTAAAGTACGCCGGGCTCGGATAGCCATTTGCCTACGAAAATCCCCAGCTGCCTCGCTCCGATACATGTTAAGCTCCTTCTGAATTTTATCTTGGATTTTGACATCAGACACCAGCCTTTCTACACAGTCTAGCATTCCTGAGAAAACCTCATTCGATATGTTATCTCCAATTCCATCAAAAAACAGTGGATTTAGGAAGAAACCAGCTGAATGAAGCGGTCGTTGCATGTGCCTGTCCCATCTCTGGTCAATAATGTTCCAGTAAGGCATATAGTCGCTCTTCTTCACTAGCTCTTTCTTGATTGCTGCTTTGGCTTTGTATAATCCAGCATAAACATACCCCATAGCAGGCCTCTTGTTGCTACCTACCAGCTTAAGAAGATGCACAAGTGGTTCGGTGGCACGAACAACCAAGGCACATGAAGACCAAAATTGCGAATTGCTAACAATATTGCTCACTTCTATCCCTCCGGGTATCTTTGGCAGCAGGCAGTGTACCCATTCATCTGAACTGATCATGGCTTGCAAATCCTCCTTCACACTGTACATGTTTTTCAGCGTCACGAAGTTCATGGCAGCACGGGTCTCTGCAGGAACTAGCAGATCCTTCCCCTGCAGATGCTTCTTCATCAAACTCAATGCAAGAGCACTGCTGTACAAAAATCCAGTGATGGTCTTTGCGTTGCTTATGATCTCACTAACTGCTGTCTCCTTGCTGAAATCTTGAAGCATACCATCGATGCACCGGAAAGTGCATGGAGACCAGAACAGTGTAGGAAATGTTTCACCTAGCCTTTTACCTGCGGCTGCATGAATCTCAGAGTTGTTTGTGATCACTTGGACGACATTTTTCTCTCCAACCTCCTCAACAACGCTCTTCAGTAGCTCAAACAGCGCGTCTGATGATGTGACGATATCTGTTGCGTCAACCGATTTCAGAAACATGGTGCCTTCAGGGCAATACACCGAAAAGGTCATCAAGGTCCTGCCCTTGTCAGTCGTCCACTCATCGGACAACACTGAGCACCCCGTGCGAGTCCATGACCCCTTGTAGTACTCTAACTGAGCCGACACTTCATCCAGCGACTTCTTCAGGACGCAGCCGCGAAAGTCATGGTATGAGAACACCTCAGGCTTCCCTCCCATGGAGGAAATAGCGTCGACCATCGGCTGGAAATGCACGGAATTCACCGCCTCCAGTGGCACACCGGCATCATACAAGAACCTCCCAACAGCCATGCAAACCTGGTCCCTGTCCGAGCCCGCAGCCGGATCGACATGCCTTGACAGCGGCAGTGCTGTTGCTGTCGCATCAAGCGCCATAATCGTCTGGTGAGGAGGCTGCGTCTGGGGAGCAGGAGTAGCAGGCTGGAGAGGGTGCTGCTGGGCCTGCGGGACAGAAGCAGGAGCACGCCTCACGGCCAGCGCCTTCTTCCTCCTCTTGGTGGCGCCGCCGCCGGTCCACCCCGACCCCGTCCCCATGGGAGGGGCCTCCTCGGCGGCGCGGGGGGCCTGGTTGAGTGGGAGGACGTGGATGGGGCTGGCCAGGTCGCCGTTGGAGGCGGAGGGGGAGGGGGAAGGCGAGGAGGCCGCGGGCAAGGCGGCGGGGTCGGCGGAGGCGACGGCGGCCATGGCGGCGGCGAGGGCGCGCTTGCGCAGCTTCTTGGCGGCGACCTCGTCGAGGCTGCGGTGCATGAGGGCCTCGACGTCGGCGGGGACGTCGGGGCAGCAGCAGGCGTTCCCCGGGCGGCGCGCGAGGTGCTCCTTGAAGCGGTGGATGCCGCCGCCGAGGAAGTGCTTGCCGCAGTAGACGCACTTTAGGCGGTCCCGGCCGGCCAGGCGCACCATGAGGCAGTGCTTCCACGCCGGGTCGTGCTTCTGCGCCCCGATCGGCACCACCACCTCCAGCCCTCCTTCCCCCGCCGCCGCCGCGGCCGCCTCGTCGTCGTCCTCCTCCGCCGCCTCGTCCCTCGCAACCGCCAGCGCCACCGCGTCCGCCGCCGCCGCAGCAGCCTCCGCCTCCGGGGTCGCCATCCGCTGCCTCCCTCCCTGCATCAGCCATCGTCAGTCAGTGAGGAATTAATCCCCGAAAACTAGGTTCCGGACGAGCTGATCCCCGGGCAGACGGCGAGGAATTAAACCAGGCGAACCAACCGAGGGAGAGGCAAATGGGGAGGGGGGAGAAGAGAGGAGAAAAACTCACCGGGTTTATTTTTCTCTCTGTGGTCTGTCGGGGAATCGGCCGGCCGCCACGGAATCGGCGGAAGAAATCCGGGGTGGGGCGAGATGCGGGACGGGGGGAGAAGAAAACCAGCCAGGGGAGGAGCGGTTCGGTTCCGATGGGGTCCAGGGGCTAGGCTAGGGTTAAGGTTAAGGTTAATCTCTCTCTCTCTTCTCGCGTTGGCTTGGTTGGTTGGTTCGGCCGACCGGGCCGCCGCAAGTCCCCCCTAATTGGGCCGGTTCGTTCGTCAACAAAAATAGAAACAAAATCCTTCCCTCTTTCCTTCAGTTCAGTCACCCCGTAATTGGGCACGCCATTTTTCTTCAGACATACCACTCCCTCCCTCCGTTCGGAAATACTTGTCATTGAAATGATTGTATCTAAACTTATTTTAGTTATAGATACATTCATTTTATTCATTTCTAGGACAAGTATTTTCGGACGGACGGAGGGTACATTCTCTCACAAACGAAATGGAACCGCTGACCCGGTCAAAAAGAAAAATGGAACCGCTGCTTCTTTCGGTGTGATTATGTCCCTTCATCCATGATTCCGTCGAAATCGAGCCGCAGGAATGCCACCTACTGCAGTTACCGGGCTTTCAGTTCCTTTCACCCCAAAATTCAAGTAAAACTGTACTACTAGAAGGAAGCACACGCCTTCTCTTCTTCTCTTTCCAGAACAAACTGCAGCCCTACGAACGAGGAACAAAAACATTCTGCAAAACGCTCGATCCGTCGTCCCACCGGAAAGCTATACCAGCTAAAGTACAGCATCTAGTAGTACCTACCATTACCGCCACCGATCCGGGAGAACAGGGGACCTCCATATGAACATCGGGCTGGTACCAATCACGGTGGCTGCAGTTGCCATCGTTGTGTGTTGTCAACAGGCAACAGTTCAGCTGAGCCCGAGCTCCTTCTTCAGCTGCTCAAGGACGGATTCTATGTCCGACACGCCATCGTCGGAGCTGCTTGTTCCCTTCTTGTCACCCTGAGCATTTCCGCCTTTCCCTCCAAACTGCGTGTACGGATCGTTCCCATCGTCTTCCTCGGTGCCCGAGCCGTCGATGTTCAGTTCGTTCTCCAGGAACTCCACAAACTCCTCGCCAATAGCCTGCACGAGCAGAAATAAGTATAATTTGCATGGGCTACATCATAGGCCATAGTTACCAGCTGCAACATTATAAGTGTACTTCTAGCAAGTCGACATTTGCCATCCTTTTCCAAAAGTAAATTTTCCAATGTGCAGCAAAGCTGTAAAGATGACTTACAGTTCTTCCCACAAGCTTTTAGGTTTCTGCTCTGAGTTCAGGCCAGCCTCCCAGTTCTGAAATTCTGTTTGCAGGTCTTTAAGGAAATCCCCTGCAAAACCAGAAACCAAGTGGCGTCAACAAAATGCGCATTTTTTTACGGATCAATCAAACTTGTTATATCTGCATAACCATCTTATCTACCGGCAGATTTAAAACTGCAATAGGAATTGGATCCACAGGCAGTTCCGTAGCAGAAAACTGCAATGAAATGGCACTAACACTAGCAGAGCGTACCACCGCATCAATGATCAACCACTGGTCAGAGGCCCATTTCAGTTCACGGACCAGCATAAAATTCCTAGCCCCAGAATAATATAGTACTAGTTTGCTAGAGCAGAAGAGAAGAGAGGAGATTTCAGTACCAAACCCATAGAAATCCTCTTCTGCGTCAGCTGGCTTGCTGCTCCCGGGAGACCACGAAGAATCAGGGCTGCTGCTGCTGCTCGCGTACTTGGATCGGCTCTCCGAGTTCATCAGCGTGTTGTAGGCGTGCTTGATCCTCAGAAACTTCTCCTGAGCATTCGCCTACATTGAACCAGGAGCTTGTCAGCAAAATCTCCATTAGGAAACAGTACTGAAGCTAGTTCCATCGCTGAATCCTGCTGCTTGGATGTGAAGAGGAGGGGGGCACCGCACCTCCTTGTTGACGTCCGGGTGATACTTGAGCGCGAGCCGCCGGTACGCGCGCTTGATCTCCGCGGACGCGGCGGACGGCGCCACGCCGAGCACCTCGTACGGGGACTCCCTCCGCCGCCCGCCTCCGCCGCCGGCACCCGCGCGCACCCGCACGCTCGCCCGCCGCGTCCACCGGGAGGAGCTGGGGCCGGAGCGGAGGGAGGCGAAGGCGCGGAGGAGGGGGAGGGGAGGAGGCGCCGTACCGGGAGCAGAGCGGTGGAGCGGGGTAGGGGGGAGGAGACGCGGGGCGGCGACGGCGGCGGCGGCGGCGTGCACCGACAGCGCCATGGCGGACGGATTGGGTTGCGGGGCTCGCGGCCAGGCCGCTTCGAATGGCGAGCGGCGAGCGGTGTCCTCCGCCGTCCAGATCGGCTGACCAAGAGGATCCAACGGCTGTGCAACAAGCTGATGATCGTGACTGCTTTTTACTGCATACTGTCAATTTAGCTGCTTTTTTTTTCCGAGATCAATAGTAGTATTAGCTATCTAAACACTCTTATATTTCTTTACAGAGGGAGTAGTTTATTCCAAGATGACAGAGTTATAATTTAGAGACAAAAGATGCTTAATACATAGGGTTCTTTGTCAAGTCATACAGCCATGACTCGCTCACAGCAACTATACTTTGCCAGACAATCAACAACTTTATTTAGAGACCTATGAATTTTTTGGGGAACAAACTTCCTGCTGACCATTAAAGACTTAATGTCAGCAATTAAAATGACAATAAACTAAGCGATTCGGACTTGACCCAGAGAGGCATGGTAGGGCGGTCAGAAAGTTGGATAATTAATAACTGATAATTCGGTACGCTGACGAGCCAATCCCGTACGGATCATTAATGCATGTATCTCCACTCTACCCCAAAATTCACTATTTGACAAGTTATCACTTATTTGAGATCTTCCTTTTATAAGGTAATCTTGACAGTCTCTGGTTAGGATCCTATTGTTTGAGATCCTATAATATGCAAGACTCCCGTGTGAGTTATCATCATGAACATCTTAACTAGACAAGATAGTACCTCTAATGATTCTTGGTGATTTATCGTATCTTTATTTGAAAATAACGAGTGAGAATTTTGTCCTCTCACAAAAAACGCAATAAAGAATTCCAACTCCAAGTATGTGGCTCGGACATTGCCAACTTTAGTGCGAGAGGAGCTCACATTAAGCAAAAGGGTTAGATTTAGTTTTTGTCTGAACTTTCGAACGGAGTTGGTTTGTCAAAAATTACTCACAAACACCACAATGGTCCGTCTCAACAACTTGTGCATAACGATCAAGCATATTATCTATTTCTAAGGAACATCAATTACAATGTAGATGCACACACACACACCTTTTGGGGGGGTTAGAGGGGGTGAATAGACATAATACAAACTTCTACCACTTTTAAAGTTTGGCAATTTTAAGCACAAAGAGGCTAGTTGATCCTTAAACAATCAAGCAATTATAGTGAGTAAGCTTCAGAAAATATACCACCTTGAATGAAAGTAAGGGAATAGGGTAGAGTAGCCAAAAAAATTTGTTAACCCAATGATTTTTCACATGGTTTGGATAGTTGGTGCAATCCTACATCCACGTTGATGGAGGATTCGAACCAAAAGGTTATAGGATCCAAAATCCCAGTTCTAGCGCCCACCAAGCAGCCCACCAAGCACAACCAACCTATTACATCATGGCTTGCATTTACAAGCATCACCAAGGGCAGATCTTCGCAGTGGGTGATCTCCGGGTGCATACAAACTCAAGTCATTCTCACTTAGAAGTTGATATGGTCTCAAGTGATTCCCGCGTCTAAGATCCGCTCACGTAGAAGTTGATATGGTCTCAAGTGACTTCAAGAGATAGCAAAAATGAGCAAGAGCCTCTCCACGAATAGTTTTTCTGAAGGTCAATGAGGCATCCTCAGCATCGTCCACACCATCATAACACTCATCCTCCAACTTCTGACTAGGATTGTTTTGGGTGAGAAGAGACAGTTTAGGGGATTCATACTTTTATTACCTCTTTAGCCATGAGCATCAATGAGTGATTGGTGTTGGAAATATGCCCTAGAGGCAATAATAAAATGGTTATTATTATATTTCCTTGTTCATGATAATTGTCTATTGTTCATGCTATAATTGTGTTATCCGGAAATCGTAATACATGTGTGAATACATAGACCACAACACGTCCCTAGTGAGCCTCTAGTTGACTAGCTCATTGATTAAAAGATAGTCATGGTTTCCTGACTATGGACATTGGATGTCATTGGACAAGACCCAATCCTAAGCATAGCTTAAAGATCGTGTAGTTCGTTTGCTAGAGCTTTTCCAAATGTCAAGTATCATTTCCTTAGACCATGAGATTGTGCAACTCCCGAATACCGTAGGAGTGCTTTGGGTGTACCAAACGTCACAACGTAACTGGGTGACTATAAAGGTGCACTATAGGTATCTCCGAAAGTGTCTGTTGGGTTAGCACGAATCGAGACTGGGATTTGTCACTCCGTATGACGGAGAGGTATCTCTTGGGCCCACTCTGTAATGCATCATCGTAATGAGCTCAATGTGACCAAGTGGTTGATCACGGGATCATGCATTACGGTACGAGTAAAGTGACTTACCGGTAACGAGATTGAATGAGGTATTGGGATACCGACGATTGAGTCTCGGGCAAGTAATGTACCGATTGACAAAGGGAATTGTATACGGGATTGATTGAATCCTCGACATCGTGGTTCATCCGATGAGATCATCGAGGAGCATGTGGGAGCCAACATGGGTATCCAGATCCTGCTGTTGGTTATTGACCGGAGAGTCGTCTCAGTCATGTCTGCGTGTCTCCCGAACCCGTAGGGTCTACACACTTAAGGTTCGGTGACGCTAGGGTTGTTGAGATATTAGTATACGGTAACCCGAAAGTTGTTCGGAGTCCCGGATGAGATCCCAGACGTCACGAGGAGTTCCGGAATGGTCCGGAGGTGAAGATTTATATATGGGAAGTCAAGTTTCGGCCATCGGGAAAGTTTCGGGGGTAATCGGTATTGTACCGGGACCACCAGAAGGGTCCCGGGGGTCCACCGGGTGGGGCCACCTATCCCTGAGGGCCCCATGGGCTGAAGTGGGAGGGGAACCAGCCCCTAATGGGCTGGTGCGCCCCCCATGGGCCTCCCCCTGCGCCTAGGGTTGGAAACCCTAGGGGTGGGGGGCGCCCCACTTGGCTTGGGGGGCACTCCACCCCCCTTGGCCGCCGCCCCCCTTGGAGATTGCATCTCCTAGGGCCGGAGCCCCCCTAGGGGTCCTATATATAGTGGGGGGAGGGAGGGCAGCCGCACCCTAGCCCCTGGCGCCTCCCTCTCCCTCCCGTGACACCTCTCCCTCTCCCTGAGATCACCGTTGCTTCCACCACCACGCCGTCGTGCTGCTGGATCTCCATCAACCTCTCCTTCCCCCTTGCTGGATCAAGTTGGAGGAGACGTCTTCCCAACCGTACGTGTATTGAACGCGGAGGTGCCGTCCGTTCGGCGCTAGGTCATCGGTGATTTGGATCACGACGAGTATGACTCCATCAACCCCGTTCTCTTGAACGCTTCCGCTCGCGATCTACAAGGGTATGTAGATGCACTCCCTTCTCCCCCGTTGCTAGATGACTCCATAGATTGATCTTGGTGATGCGTAGAAAATTTTAAAATTCTGCTACGTTACCCAACAGTGGCATCATGAGCTAGGTCTATGCGTAGTTTCTGTGCACGAGTAGAACACAAAGCAGTTGTGGGCGTCGATATTGTCAATTTACTTGCCGTTACTAGTCTTATCTTGATTCGGCGGCATCGTGGGATGAAGCGGTCCG